TGCCCAGGCCGTTTTAAAAAATTTTCTTCCGTTCTTGAGATATTGAATTTTTTCTGAAAGCACCCTCATGAAAAAATGACAATTTTTGCCATTTTTACTGTATGTTTATCTCTAGGTGAGATATTTTTCTTATTAATTTGAACTAGAATGGATGAATCATTGATGGGTCAGTCTAGAGTAATAGATCCATTGAAAAAATTGCATTTTTCTGCATTTTGTTCATATACATTTTAATTGAATGAATAATGTCAGATAACTAAAATTTTAACCACAGAGATCTCATTGAGTAGTATCTATGTTGCAAATTTCAGCTCTCCAGCTAGTTCCCTTAGTCCAGGGTACCATTCTCAAAATTGCAATTTTGATCAAAATCACGATTTTTTCGGAGGTCTATCTAGAGCAAAATCAAGCCTATAGAGAGCTGGTATTTAGAGATTCAAACAACACTCTTAGTACTATAAAGCCATGCAAGAATCAGGATGGGACACTATAGAATACGGTGCAGGGACTTATTGAAAGATGAGTCATAAATTGGGGTCCTGATTCCCATATAAAATAATCATAATAATTCACAAATTAATGAAAAATTTATCATATAGACAATTTTTCACGTAGAATCTGATGGTAATATTCTTTCGATTATTTTCATAAGTTTTAGCCATGTCCCCCCCCTCACCATCCGTCAAGATGTGAAAGTGATATTTTCTAATTTTTAACCATATATAATGCCGCCGATGATATTTTTGAAGAGAATGAAAATTTATACAATTTTTAACAGTGAGTAAGATAAACAGTTTCAATTCATCAGTTTTATTGTATTGTTTACTCATAGTACCATCTCACTCTGATCAATTCTTTCAAAATGGCATATGATTAATCTTTCATCTACAACTTATATCTGTTTATGTCTGTGAGAATTTTCTTCTTGTCGTTAGACAAATATGTGTAAAGTGAAATGTATATTCACCAAATAATTCAAATAATCAATAACTTTGTGAGTATGGTTCATTGATTGAAAGAGAAGCGAGGTTGGAAAGAAAAAAGAAGGATGGTTAGAAACAGAAGAGAAGTGAAAAGTATGAGTAAGAGCAGGAAAGAAAAAAATTGACCAAAATGAGANTCTTGATGACATATTTACATTTTACAGCCGTCTGTATGTCTTTAGCTTTCGTCTTTTTTCAAATATATCTAAAACTGTTTTTGAGCCTAGTCACATATGGTTTTGTAGAGAATTTTAAGCGCTTTCTTTTGATAATTAAGACAGCTTTACTTACAGTGATAATAGACAGGAAATCTTAAAAATACTGGGAGGCTCATTATTCCTGGGACACCCGATATAATGTCGTCTATGATATTTTTGAAGAGAATGAAAATTTATACAATTTTTTTTTGACAGTGAGTAAGATAAACAGTTTCAATTCATCATTTTGATTGTATTGTTTACTCATGGTACCATCTTACTCTGATCAATTCTTTCAAAATGGCATATAATTAATCATTCATCTACAATTTATCCTTGTTTATGTCTGTGAGAATTTTCTTCTTGTCGTTAGACAAATATGTGTGAAGTGAAATGCATATTCACCGAATAATTTATATGGTTAATAACTTTGTGAGTATGGTTCATTGATTAAAAGAGAAGCGAGGTTGGAATGAACAAAAAGATGGTGAGAAATAGAAGAGAAGAGAAAAAGATGAGTAAGAGCGGGAAAGAAAAAAATTTAGCAGAAGGAGAGAAGAGAAGAAAAAAAAATTCAATATAATGAAATTAGTTCATTCATTGACTAAAAAATTTTCAAGCGAAAGCTTAACTTCTTGTGTGTTGTCGAAAAAAAGAAAACGACGGCAGGTCACGCTCAATCGTGCAATAGTTTGTGTTATAATGGAATGGAGGTGATTGACAGTGGTATGGCAAGTAGTGATAATTCAATAAATGTTGCTAGTGCTGAAGAAGAAGAAGAAGAAGAAAAAGAATGCTCCGCCTTTCGGCTACCTTGCGGTATATGGTGCTGTCCGAGAACAGTTTCGAGAAGCCCGATGTTTTACCTACATCTATTACTAAATGTAGCTCTGGACAGAAGGCCGACCTGACTCAGAGTTCTTCTCGCTTAATTTCTTAAGCTCCCCATACATACTAACTAGCCATATACTAGTCACAAGGACCGTTTAGTATATGTCAACAACGTAGTCGATTTGTTATCGGATGGGTGGTCCGAGACAAAACAGCCGTTAGTGACTTGTCCAAGGTCATTCTATGACTGATGGAGCCGAGGATCGAACACATTATCTTATGGATATGTGTCAAACAACTTAACCATTCAGCCATAGTGGCTTAGCGCTGATGACACATTAAGTACGACTAGTTATCCTGCAACGACTTATAGTTGTGGCAACAGTTGGTCGGAAACAATTAGTCAATCAATAACAATGGATTTTTCAACATCGGTTTCTGATATGAACAATATATCTAACAATATATCATTGATATCTATATATGAAATGCGTAGTTCAAGTATAAGATCTAATCATACGTATACTGGCCCTTGTGTACTGACAAAGGATTATGATGATAATTATGAGTCGCCTTATTCAATCATGAATAGCTACCCAACTACTGCACCTGAAGATATATTTCCTGCATATCAATACATATTTTCTGGTGATGAAAAAGATGATTTTAATAAGTAAGTTCACTTTGTTTATATGAAAAGCTTTAGTGATTTTATCAAGTTCAGTCGAAGAAGTGGAAGAGAATGATCGCCCGTCTCTGTCCGCCTTAAATACGACATCACCTATGATTGATTATAATGTCTGCTGTCTATCGTCAGCCGATGGTCTAAATGATTGCGGGCTGAGTACGAATGGTGAATAAACTCCCCCTCCCCCCCAGAATAAAAGGCCATGGCCTTCTATTATGGAAATTCACATCGGACTTTTCAGGGTGGCCTTCTATTAAGGGTGGCCTTCTAATAGGACTTTTNGATGGTGAGAAACAGAAGAGAAGAGAAAAAGATGAGTAAGAGCAGAAAAGAAAGAAATTGACCACAATGAGAGAAAAGAAGAAAAAAAAATATTCAATATAATGAAATTAGTTTATTCATTTACTGAAAAATTTTCAAGCGAAAACTTAACTTCTTGTGTGTTGTCGAAAAAAAGAAAACTATGGCAGGTCACTCTCAATCGTGCAATAGTTTGTATTATAATGGAATGGAAGTGATTGATAATGGTATGGCAAGTAGTGATAATTCAATAAATGTTGCTAATGCTGATGACACATTAAGTACGACTAGTTATCCTGCAACGACTGATAGTTGTGGCAACAGTTGGTCGGAAACAATTAGTCAATCAACAACAATGGATTTTTCAACATCGGTTTTTGATATGAACAATATATCTAACAATATATCATTGGTATCTATATGGGAAACGCGTAGTTCAAGTATAAGACCTAATCATACTTATCCTGGTCCTTGTGTACTGACAAAGGATTATGATGATAATTACGAGTCGCCTTATTCAATTATGAATAGCTATCCAACTACTGCACGTGAAGATATGTTTCCTGCATATCAATCCATATTTTCTGATGATGAAAAAGATGATTTTAAAAAAGAATCAATAAGTAAGTTCACTTCGTTTATATGAAAAGCTTTAGTGATTTTATCAATTTCAGTCGAAAGGGTGGGTGAGAATGATCGTCCGTCTCTGTCCGCTTTAAATACGACATCACCTATGATTGATTATAATGTCTGCTGTCTATCGTCTGCCGGTGGTCTAAATGATTGTGGGCCGAGTACGAATGGTGAGTACTTCATATTATAATCTTTCGTTAAAACAGTCTATTATTGAGGAACAGCTCGTAGGGACTGGCCTGTCGGATGTGTGTCCTTTGAATACCTTAATAATATTTTGGCGGAAGAATATTTGATACGAAAAGGTATCATGTCGGAGCAGCAACGACCTTATTTAAAACTTAGTGAAAAAGATTTAATAGCAAATCGTCTACAACTGAAAAACATTCCTGTTCATAATAACATGCGTATTTGTCCAAAGCATTGAAACACATTCGGAATAGGATGGTGTGACAGAGATAACGTTTGCAATTTTCCTGGTCATGATGTACAACAACATCCGAGACTATCAGATTGCCGCAGAGCTAACATAATTATGTGTTCCAAGATTGATAAATTTCCTATTGGAGGACGGTAAGAGCCTTATTTCACTGTTATTCTTGAATTTTGCAAAGTCTATTTGTATATTTAGACTCTGTTCGAAACATCGAAAAATGTTTTATTCAAAGACTGATTCTGAAATGTATAGTCATCCAAGCTGCGACACATTCGGTAGTGCCTACGAAGTTGAGGACACCCGTGAACATATGAATAATATCTTGAATGTAGCTGGTCTCAGTCCTGTTAAATCACAGACAACGAAAACTCTCAAGCAACAAAGCAAAGGTAGTGTTCGCCGTCTTCTAAGTAAACTAAAACGTGGTACTCAACTTCTGCAAAGTAAAATTTTATAAAGATGTAAAAACACGCTTTATCAACGTGATTGTTTTAGGTAAACTAGCTGAAAGCTTAGCACCTGATGAAGGTGATGATTTGCTGAGAATGGCTAATTTATCTGAAATCTCTACTCAACCTAATATCGATATGCAGGTTGAAAACAACGAAATGGTCGAAAACATCAAGAAAATTTATAATCTATACATAGCTCAAAAGATGCCTTTTGCCGAACAAGTGTGCTTATTGATATTATTACCACGTGCCTGATCGTACGATCAAATTATTGCCAACTTCAATTGCTCACGTCATGCAATCAAGTTAGCACACAAGATGAAGGACGATAAAGAACATTATTTCAGACAAAATGAAAGCCCTACTATTCGACAACGTGTCGATCCTCAAAGGGTCAGACATTTTATAACGTGGTTAGTCGATAGTCAGCTGCTTCTATCAGGTCAGATATGCTCATTCTCTTCTTATCTCTTTTTTTCACAAACTTTTTCAAACAGGTAACTATGGCATCACTACAATTACACTGGACGATGGAGAACAATTCATTATTCCAAAACAGATTCTTCAGTCGCAGCGTAGTCATGCTACAGTCGAGTATTTAAAATATTGCGAAGAAACCAATTTTAACAATTTGGGTAGAACAAAGTTGTTTGAAATACTCGATAGTATTAAACCATCATCACAACGTGCTGTTTCTGGTCTCGATGCATTTGTAACAGAAGGAATTGAAGCTTGGAACACTATCTCCAGTAAGCTGATCATTTTTTTTATCATAAAAATTTTATATTATACTTATGTATTATAGATATCGTATCTAATTTATCTATACCACAAGTGGACCATAAACGACTAAAAAAGCAAATAGAAATGGCTGAAGCATATCAAAAAATAAAGCACATGGGGCACTGTATAGATGACGATGATTGTATAACACATTGCACTAGATTTGGATTAAGTCATCCTACCTGTCCTGATCAAAGCGTCAGGTGTTCCCGACCACATTCAGTAAATTGTCGAGACTGCTTAAATGTAATATTTACACTAGATGAGGTGGGGAAAAGAATTGAAGAAATTCATAATGAAGAGTTGAAGCGAGAGACTAGCTATGATTTTGAAAATTCTATTCAACACATACATGAGTGGTTCAGACATAATATAAGAGCTGCTCAACAGAATCAGGAGAAAGTAAACATTATCTTGCATATGGTTTCTAACGAAGCCTTTGCTACATTTGATTGGGCTCAAAAAGTGTTACCCCAGGAACATCGAGAAGGACAAAGTTGCTACTTTGGCAAGTCGGGAATGTCCCTATTAGTTGGATCATTTGTATTTCATTATATTGAATATGTTTTTTTCTTCTCTCTCTCATTCTGGTCAATTTCTTTCTTTCCTGCTCTTACTCATCTTTTTCTCTTCTCTTCTGTTTCTCACCATCTTTTTTTTTCTTTCCAACCTCGCTTCTCTTTCAATCAATGAACCATACTCACAAAGTTATTAATTATTTGAATTATTTGGTGAATATGCATTTCACTCTACNTTGTGAGTATGGTACATTGATTGAAAGAGAATCGAGGTTGGAAAGAAAAAAAAAGGATGGTTAGAAACAGAAGAGAAGTGAAAAGTATGAGTAAGAGAAGGAAAGAAAGAAATTGACCAGAATGAGAGAAGAGAAGAAAAAGAAATATTCAATATAATGAAATTAGTTTATTCTTTTACTGAAAAGTTTTCAAGCGAAAACTTAACTTCCTGTGTGTTGTCGAAAAAAAGAAAACTATGTCAGGTCACTCTCAATCGTGCAATAGTTTGCATTATAATGGAATGGAAGTGATTGATAGTGGTATGGCAAGTAGTGATAATTCAATAAATGTTGCTAGTGCTGATGACACATTAAGTACGACTAGTTATCGTGCAACGACTTATAGTTGTGGCAACAGTTGGTCGGAAACAATTAGTCAATCAACAACAATGGATTTTTCAACATCGGTTTTTGATATGAACAATATATCTAACAATATATCATTGGTATCTATATGTGAAACGCGTAGTTCAAGTATAAGATCTAATCATACTTATACTGGTCCTTGTGTACTGACAAAGGATTATGATGATAATTACGAGTCGCCTTATTCAATTATGAATAGCTATCCAACTACTGCACCTGAAGATATGTTTCCTGAATATCAATCCACATTTTCTGATGATGAAAAAGATGATTTTAAAAAAGAATTAATAAGTAAGTTCATTTCGTTTATATGAAAAGCTTTAGTGATTTTATCAATTTCAGTCGAAGAGGTGGAAGAGAATGATCGTCCGTCTCTGTCCGCTTTAAATACGACATCACCTATGATTGATTATAATGTCTGCTGTCTATCGTCCGTCGGTGGTATAAATGATTGTGGACCGAGTACGAATGATGAATACTTCATATTACAATCTTTCGTTAAAACAGCTGACTATTTAGGAATAGCTTGTAGAGACTGGCCTGTCGGATGTGTCTCCTTTGAATACCTTAATAATATTTCGGCGGAAGAATTATTGATACGAAAATGTATCGTGTCTGAGCAGCAACGGCCTTATCTAAAACTTAGTGAAAAAGATTTAATAGCAAATCGTCTACAACTGAAAAACATTCCTGTTCATAATAACATGCGTATTTGTCCACAGCATCGAAACACATTCGGAATGGGATGGTGTGACAGAGATAACGTTTGCAATTATCCTGGTCATGATTTACAATAACATCCGAGACTATCAAATTGCCGCATAGCTAACATAATTATGTGTTCGAGGATTGATCAATTTCCTATTGGAGGACGGTAAGAGCCTTATTTCACTGTTATTCTTGAATTTTGCAGTCTTTTTGTATATTGAGACTCTGTTCGAAACATCGAAAAATGTTTTATTCAAAGACTGATTCTGAAATGTATAGTCATCCAAGTTGCGACACATTCGGTAGTGCCTACGAAGTTGAAGACACCCGTGAACATATGAATAATATCTTGAATGTAGCTGGTCTCAGTTCTGTTAAATCACAGACAACGAAAACTTCTGCAAAGTAAAATTTTATACAGATGTAAAAACACGTTTTATCAACGTGATTGTTTTAGGTAAACTAGCTGAAAGCTTAGCATCTGGTGAAGATGATGAATTGCTGAGAATGGCTAATTTATCTGAAATCTCTACTCAACCTAATATCGATCTGCAGGTTGAAAACAACGAAATGGTCGAAAACATCAAGAAAGTTTATAATCTATAAATAGCTCAAAAGATGCCTTTTGCCGAACAAGTGTGCTTATTGACATTATTACCACGTGCCTGGTCGTACGATCAAATTATTGGCAACTTCAATTGTTCACGTCATGCAATCAAGTTAGCACACAAGGTGAGGGACGATGAAGAACATTATTTCAGACAGAATGAAAGCCCTACTATTCGACAACGTGTCGATCCTCAAAGGGTCAGACATTTTATAACGTGGTTAATCGATAGTCAGCTGCTTCTATCAGGTCAGATATGCTCATTCTCTTCTTATCTCTTTTTTTCACAAGCTTTTTCAAACAGGCATCTATGGCGTAACTACAATTATACTGGACGATGGAGAACAATTTATTATTCCAAAACAGATTCTTCAGTCTCAATGTAGTCATGCTATAGTCGAGTATTTAAAATATTGTGAAGAAACTAATTTTAACAATTTGGGTAGAACAAAGTTGTTTGAAATACTCGATAATATTAAACCATCATCACAACGTGCTGTTTCTGGTCTCGATGAATTTGTAACAGAAGGAATTGAAGCTTGGAAGACTATCTTCAGTAAGCTGATCATTTTTTTTATCGTAAAAATATTATACTTATATATTATAGATATCGTATCTAATTTATCTATACTACAAGTAGACCGTAAACGACTAAAAAAGCAAAAATAGAAAT